AGATAGGCAGATAAGGAACTCACTCAGGTTCGGGTTCAATCACTCCCAGGAGCTGTGTGTCCCATAAGACAGATTCAAGACTGGTGGGAGCCGCTCTGATCCGCATCAGTTCCTGTACGGAATTCTTGAGCAAATAAGTTAAACAGGACAGAATCAACCAACCCAGGCACTCACTTTAAACCCCCCTCAACCCAATCACAAACCCCGCTGTCCAACTCTGCAGGTACAGAGAGATGTGTTTTTTCAGGCACCAAGACATCGGGGAACTAGCCATCAAACCAAGTTTAGCATCTGGCTTCAAAATTTCTTATTTTACTAGACATCCACCCACTCAACTGATTCCTGGCCTCACCCCCAGTGCTTGCCTCCCACATCCCCCATCTCCATCGCCATGTGCCTGCCCCTCCTGCTCCTCCCCTCCCCGGCCTCAGGGCCCACCCCTGCGACCACAGAGGCAACCAGGGCAGGTCGGGTGCAGAGGATACCAGCCCCTCCATTTCCATTCACTCAGCCAGAGCAGCCCTCACGACCCCTAACGTTCCCACTGCCACCCCACCCCAGACCTAGGTCCCCCCACGTGCCTTTGGGCCCCTTAAGGAGCTGGGATCCCCTCCAGGCCCCTGCCCAGGCTCCTCTGGCCCCAGGTTCCTGAACAAGACTGCCCTGGAAAGTCCTCCAGAATCCGACCCCAGCCACCCTTCCAGGCCTGCGCCCTTTGAGGCCGCCCACACCTCCAGAGCTCATGGCGCCCCTCTCCCTAATGCTCCTTCCAGGCCCCGCGCCAGGACGTCATCAGCACACCTCATCCACACGCTCCTGTCTTGCCTTATGCTTTTACTGAATACGTTTCTAAATTAAAAATATACTTGTTAATTGTAGGTGATGTGTAAAGTGCACAGAAGCAAAAAGAAGCAAATTAAATGACTCTGAATCCTACCACATACAGATAACATTGTCATATGCCTCCCTGGGCTTTGTTCTCCCATAGAGGTGCGAACCTGTGTTCATTTCCTCTCATTCCTCTCACATGTCCACAGGGCTTATATGTCTTCGCATATTGTTTGTCTCTCTTTCTCTTTCTCTTTCTCTCTCTCTCTCTCTCTTCCTCCCTCCCTCCCCTGTGACCACCCATCTCATAATCCTACACACCGTGGGCCCCCAAAGTCAGGAAAGGACAGGATATTCCAGGATATTCCAGCAAACGTCTACAAAAATGGGCCTTATTCTCTTTTAAAATATGGAATAACCATCAATCTGACTGCAGCTCTATTTGTGTGTAGCATCTTCCAGACCTTAATTCTTTTCATCTTAATTTGTATTTGAAAACATTCAGGGTTTTTAAATCATAGAACATGTCCTTCTCTACCCAACACAAGCTTTCTAGCATAGAGGGCTAGAGGAGGGCCAGACTTGACGCCAGAAAGACCCCCCGGTCCTCAGTTCACCGGTCTTTAATTTACACGGGTCAGTTCCATGACTTTGGGCAGGCACTTAATTCTTGGCGCCTCAGTGTCCTCATCTGTACACTGGGTCTGTGCTGCCTGCTGGCAGGACTGCAGGACTAAACAAGAACATGCAGTTTGGGGTGGATGACCTAGCTTTGGGATTGTTGTGTTTAAGCTTTCTTGTCCCTCTTGAGTACAGAAGTGCTTTTGCTCTGTGGACCTCTCCCACAGACCCAGGCAGACTCCCAGCGACTCAGGAAACTGACACTTGCCTGGAGTGAAACCGTCAGCTTTTGGCCTGGTCCAGATGCTTAACAATGGCCCTGTTCTGGCCTGCAGCTGATCATTAAAACACATTCCAACACTTTACATCATTTAAAGTTAGGCCCCAACGTGCAAGACTCCTCACGTTTGCCAGGGGTGTTTAACAATAGCTCACAGTTCCATGAATTCTTTTAACTTTTGCTTTAAAGATCAGTAACCTCATCTATGCATCACTTCCCTACTTCCCCTTACCTTTAAAATAACTGTCGAAGGTTTGGTAAATTCATTAGCTCATTCCTTAATAACCGAAGACAGGTAATCCAGAGTTGCTGATTTATCCCTGCCTAGTTGTCAGAATGTTCTCTTAGCGAGAGCTGTGCCCGCACGGCATCGTTACAGCTGCCAGTCCACTCTGCCTCCCTGCAATGGCCTCATTAAAGACTGATTTAATAAAGTAATTTGGTGGGGAATTCGGATATTTTCACAACAGCCTTCATTTCCTCGTCGTCTTTCCCAGGTAACCGACGTGAGGTTATTTGTTGATGCTATTGCTTGTAACTGCTGGTCCACTTTCTTTCTGACTTTCTATCATCCGGCATTAATGTCTTTCCTTTTGCCTCAATTGTCACAGCCTTAATGAATTCTGCTTAATTTCCTTGCAGGGCCCAGTTTAATTCCCCAGATCCCTGGCCCTAAGTCAGCCTCCAGTACCTTCCTTGCTCCGTTATCACAGCTCGAGCACCAGCTAGCAGATTTTCCAGGGACTTTCGATAAAGCCAGGAGCTTATTACCAGTCTGAGGCTTTGATGCTGAGGGACTGATTGTCACCCGTCAGATGTCAGTCAGTTTTCCATCCATCCATCCTTCAGCTGTCACAGAGAGCACGCGCAGTGACATGCTTCTGCCTTGCATGATGTCCTGGATGATCCCAAAACATCTCATGTCCCCAAAGGCCTCAAAACTGGAGAGCAGCCTTCTCAGCTCCCTAAAGAGGCAGATAGATACCAGGGTAACCTTAAATTATCCCCAAGTCTGACTTTGTCATATAAGGCCTCCAAAAGAGACATCTAACATCCTCCATCTTTGCAGATTCATCAACTATGAATGATATCACTATAGCAAACCACCCTTTCATTTTGCTCTGTATACCACCCATAAGTTTATAGATTAAAACATAACTTGGTGAACAAAAGGGCTGGTGCAAGGCAAAGCCTCCCAAACTGGGCATTAGGACAACTAAGTGCTGGAGCTGCACTGGCCACTGACTGGCTGTGTGTCCCCAGGCAAGTCGGCCTCCTTCTCTGAACCTCTGTCTCCTCACCTGTTGGAGAGGAGGCCCCTGAGGTCACGTGACCTCGGAGGCTCTAAACAGGGCCTTCAAGAAAGAGTTATTACTGTGATTACACTTCCTGACTTCACCATAAGGGTGATGTGAGAAAGAAATGGCCCTGCTGTGTAGCTCAGTGGGT